CGGCGGCGAGCACTGGCTGTTCACCACCTCGGGTGTCAGGTTGTAGCGCCGCGACATCAGCAGCAGGTCACCCTCAGTCTGCATCTGGGCCACGAGCGGGATGGTCGTGCGCAGGTCCACACTTGCGCACGTGCAGTTGTCGTGCTGGGCGGGCGTGCAGCTGTAGCGTGGCGCCACCTGCATGTACGCGAAGCGGATTGGGGAGCCGTCGGCCACCACGTGGCCGTTGGCCTGGATGCCGGTGCGCCGGTCGGTGACACGCACTCCGTGCCGCCGGCTCCAGCTGCCCACCTCGCGCACGCGGCGCAATGCAAACGTGCGCCGGAATAGGCGACCGCTAGTACCATTCAGCTGCAGGCAGAGCAGGTCGGGCAGCCGGTCGAGCTCGGGCTGCCGGAGGGCGGCGCCGCAGTTAAGCTGGCCCAGCAGCAGGCCGGGCCGCGGCGCCCAGTGCGGCAGCGGCCGCGCGCTCGGCCAGTACCGGCAGCCGGCGCCCAGCAGCAGCACGCGCACCATCGGCGGCCGGTCGAGCAGCAACTCGGCGCGGAATGCGCGCCAGCAGTTGAGGCAGGTGCGTATTGCCAGCGGGTGCGGCCAGACCGGCAGAGGTGGACCGTGTGCCGCTGGGAAATCGCCGCACAGCGTCAGCCCGAGAGCGCCGAGCTCCAGCAGACCCTCGGCACGCAGCTGCTCTACGATCTCCAGCAGGGCGGGCACCGACAACAAGGAGCCGGTAGCGTTGTGAGGCGGCGCAGTCGGAACCACGCCTATGTCTCTGCCAGCAGCACCGAACAGGGAACCGAACGCTGCCTCCAGATTGAGCGCGGCCAGTTTTTTAGGGATCTGTTGGGCGGCCGTGTGCCGCAGCAGGCCACCGCCGCCACTACCACGCGGAGCTGCGCCGGCCGCGCCTGGTGGTCCGGTGAGGGCTGCGTCCGGTGGTCCGACGAGACCTGCACCTGGTGGTCCGGTGAGGGCTGCGCTAAGTGGTCCGGTGAGGGCTGCGCCCGGTGGTCCGGTGAAGGCTGCGCCTGGTGGTCCGGTGAGGGCTGCGCCTGGTGGTCCGGTGAGGGCCGCGCCTGGTGGTCCGGTGAGGGCTGCGCCTGGTGGTCCGGTGAGGGCTGCGTCCGGTGGTCCGGTGAGGGCCGCGCCTGGTGGTCCGGTGAGGGCTGCGCTAAGTGGTCCGGTGAGGGCTGCGCCCGGTGGTCCGGTTAGGGGTGCACCTGGTGGTCCGGTGAGGGCCGCGCGGGGTGGTCCGGTGAGGGCTGCCACTGGTGGTCCGATGAGGGCTGCGCCCGGTGGTCCAGTGAGGGCTGCCCCAGGTGGTCCGATGAGGGCTTCGCCCGGTGGTCCATTGAGGGCCGCGCCTGGTGGTCCGGTGAGGGCCGCGCCTGGTGGTCCGGTGAAGGCTGTGCTGAGCGGTCCGGTGAGGGCTGCGTCCGGTGGTCCGGTGATGGCCACGCTCGCCGGTACGGCCGCCGGCCGGCCAACGTCGTCGGACGCCGCCGCCATCGCCACCAGCAGCGCCAGCAGCATGCCGAGCCGACGGCGCAGCGTCCGCCTGCGAGCTTCAGGAGGTCAGCTGGACCTCACGACCATCCGCTGCCGCGGCAGGGTGTCCGCGGCGAGGCCAGCCGTTTGTTTACAGACTAAAGCGGGTCTCGGATGGTGCCTTATATAGGAACAGCGTTTTGTTGTAATCGATGACCAACGGGTTTCAGCGATTAGAAATACGTTCATAGCTATGACGGTTTGTTAGAAGGTATCATTAAGCTGCGATAAATGAGGTGGCCATTTTCTGCTAAAAATTGGGAAACGCTCTTTACACCCCATATTTTGAACGTCGACGTGATAGCTGTTGTTTTGTAAAACTAGGCTGTATCCGTGACGTGAGCGATGATTTTGAACAAAATTGCCATAGTGCGACATTTTCATCAGTTGCTCATATCTAAGTCATGTAACAATTCCTCGATAAAGCCAAACAATGGCGAATAACGCCAACACTTAATTTCGATGTCGCTCACGTCCTAAAATGACTCGAGGAAATCGAACGTTTCCCGTTCAACTTGGTGGCGGGATCGTTCCCAGTCCAGATTATAGGGAACAGGCTCACTTCTGTGGAATCCCTGTCTGGTACACCCTGGCAGCCGCACTTGGCTTTCTCGCAGGTGTCGACCGTATCCGACCCGTTCTTTGTTCTTTGTCAACCTTGATCGCAGGAGGAGGCGATTTCGATCTAAGACAGGTAGACGAAAAAAGTGTACAACAGATGGAATAAAAGTGATTTATCACCTCATGTCCATCAAATTGATGGACATGAGCAGTACAGCCGCAAGCAACAATGGGGAAACAGACAGCCAGTCCACGTAACCCATGACACTGCCGAGAACCCGACGAATCACACATTTCATCACTATCACACGGTGTGATCGCGTGATCACATGATTCAAACCACTGTGAGGCGTGCTGATGAGTAGGTGATAAGTCTTTCGCGCAAGATATCTCCCAGATAACCCTCAACATCACGAAACGTAAGGTCGGGTGCGATGAGCGTGGTGTCTATGATGAGCACTCATCTGAGGCTTGTTGCTTTCCTATGCCACTAAAATAAGCAATATAAAATGAGCAAATAAGCTGCATAACTAGCAGCCGTCCTCGGAGCGGCGGGGTGCAGCGTAAGGCCTGCCTCCAATTGTGTGCGCTTGCCTGCTACCTAAGTATCGGTCGCGATCTCTCAGAGATTGGTGTTGAAATTTTTCGTGATAGGTTAGTAAATATATATTTTTATTGACAGTAATGCCATTTTCTAGTTTTTATTTTAATACAGGCGACTTCATGCAGCTGTGCCATTATTTTATGTACCCCTACAAAAGCAATGAGTTGCAAAGTTCTCCTTTTTTTGCAATCGAACTTTTGGCGTGTTCTTACAGATTGACAAACACTTCTTAATAAAAAAGCTTCCATCTCTTAAAAATCTTACCGCTGAAGGAAACTTTAAGCTGTTCAGTGGTCAAATAGCACGAAAGTTGCAAAAATATCGCAATACTGCACATTGCGTGAACAACAAATCCCCAATCAACAGCAGCCCGCTGCGACGCTGCAGGACCGTCCATAGATCACGTTAGACATGTGTGAAAGGGGTGTTTCAATAGAGCGTGCTCAAACGTAATAGGGATGAGGTTTTAGGCAGCGTAACATTGCCTGCAGGTGTGGTTGCAAATTGCGCTACTGTTATATCTTAAATTCTCGAGGGAGGATGCTGATGGCTTCCTCTGATGAAAAGTAACACGTCCATCTTTTTGCATCTCTAGCTTAACACGCGCTCGGATAGGGTCAGTTTGACTTCTACCGAAGGTTTTTACAGAATGGCTTCCAAGCGGCGCGGGGTAGCCGAGCCAAATTTTGCATAGCTAGTAGACAATTGAATAGCGAGTCGTTTGGTATAAAACATAAGATGCAACTCTTAATGTCACTGATCTAAGACAGGTCAGAGTCAGGTCATGAATTAAGCGAAGACAATGTCTGGGAAATCGTTCAATCTGATGCAATAACGGAGTGCTAGACGAACCTATACATCTCTGACATAGTTTCTTAGGAAACACAATAACCGAATTATCAAGTTCCACTGACCTAGGGTCAGATATGAATGCCAGGCCAGAGACAAACCAACCTGTTTTGTTCCTCTAAAGCTTACTGCTCATGGTAATTTATGCTGCTCATTTTTTAAAATAAATTTGATCAGAACCCTTTGAGTGGATGGATTTCTGGGATCAGCGCTCACGCTAAGCAGTGCTTGTTGTGTGAGCCCTGACCCCCACCATCCGATCGTGCAATTCCAGGCAACGGCTTAATTTAGTGGCGAAAGCTTAGCGTGCCGCAATGCTCGGCACGGTCCGTCCTGCCCTCTGACATCAACTGACCTTTAGCGCGACCGCTGCCACCGGCCGCAGGCCACACCTGCCAAGGGCAAATAGCGGGCGCCCTAAAGCGACTCGAACCCACCCTGCCGAGGGTGGGTGGATTGGAAGGCAGGCGCTCTAACCAACTGAGCCACCGGGGCAGACATTGAGCCACCGGGACGGACAATTTTGAGCTTATCGATAACAGGAACCACATTATGCATCCTCCATGGACTTCCTAAAGATCATAATAGGTCACTGATCTAAAACTGGCATAGGTCAATACCGCATGTTTGGAAACATATCGCCTAGCGCAATATTTGACGCTTATTCAAATGCAACTTAAAGCAGTATTTTGTGATCTTGGTCACCATGACCTGCAAAAGGTCAAACAGGGTCACTGACCTTGAACGAGCATCAGTGACCTTTTGCATAGACTTAGAAGAACAGGTATCCAGGCACTTTGGACACCAATCTGGAATTTGACCCTGTTTGACCTTATTTGATCCGAAGATCATGACCTTGGAATGTTAAAGTTGGACACAAGTGAGTTCACATGCAGGCTAACACATCCCGTGAATTTGGTGCCTCTAGCTCTCTTAGGTTCTGGGATTTCAGGGAGTTAGATTAACCCCGCCCGAGCGAAGGGTTTTCAAGCGGCAACCCGGGCGAATGTTAATTACGGACCAAACGTTACTTTCTGAAACGCTTTGCTGGCAAGACGTTACCTGGAGAAGAGGTTTTCGTGAAGCATAACAAGTGCGTAACCAGGTAGGAAGGGGTTGAAAATGGCAACATATGCATGAGGTATGCGTGGACGGCCCCGTTCACTCCCCATACAAAGTTAACATGAAACTTGTGATTATGCATGGATGCAGTTCACTTTAACATACTTCCATTGGAACGTTCCTGACCTGCTGCTCTCATGCACCATATCCGTATTCTTGAAACTGCCTGACAAGTCCAGTAACGTCAACCAACGGGAAATCCCAGAGTGCCTTTGTGCCTGACAATGAGCAGTGCTATGCTAGAGACTGTACCGTGGTTTTCCCCGCTGGACGCAGGTGGACGGGCCGCCTGCGGCGCCTTCCAGACGTGGCGATGGCAGAGGCTGTGCGCGGCGACCAGCCTCAGAAGCAGCTCGTTCTCCGCGTGCGGAAGCAGGGCGTGCGGTGGGCTGGTCTGAAGGTGAGAGCGGACGACAGGCGAGTCACCATCACATAAAAGCGTTGTATTCGGCCGTTTGCGAGGATATGCTTGTCAGGTGTCCACTACAGGCATATATTTGCACACGTTTATTGTGCGCATATCAATTCGGTAGGTGTGGCGATAACGGCTATCCTTTGCTTGGATTTTGAAAAAAGCAATACTACTTCGCTTCTGCATGGTCATGGTGGTTCTTAAAGTGATTGGACCGACGAAAATATTTTCATATTTCTGTTTTCTTGAATCGAGCAGCAAAGCCTTCCCAAATAACAATTTTTCAACCATGGCTTCACAACAGCTTCATTATCGTCGTGTCTACCATCTACCATACTTCTCGCGCTTCGTTTCGCAGCGCCTCTTCACGGTGGGAAGGAAGCGCTTCTTCGTGCTGAGACCCAAGACTAAATAAAATCTTTGTAGGCGAACGAAAAAACTGCAAAATTGCATGCGTGTCCGTACTGCGTTCCCGCAGATTTAACTAAATCTTGCTTTTCTGTTATCGAGACGATTCCCTCGCAAGCCCAACTCTTTCAATGGTTTATGGTGGGGCGTCGTTATAAAATGCTGAGCTATCTGAGTGCCAGCTGCAAAATTCTGCCCAATGGGTGTCGTGTATCTATTTGAGAACAGATAGCCACAACCATGACTTTGCTTACATTTTGGCGAGCGCTTCAAACACCGTGTTTGTGTGACGTCATCGCTGAACAATAACTTACCACACACGAAACAAATCTAACTACAATGAATCAACAGTCCGTGGTTAATCTCGGGACAAGCGGCATCTTTGGACTCCATGCAGATAATGGTGAAAGGTCTGGCTACGCACTTGTCTCGCTCCCAAAAACACCATGTGCATGTCTAAGGCGAAACAACCAGTTTAAGACCAGCGTGCTCCAGGAACATCAACCCCAAAGGCATACCGCTGAGTGCGCTCGTCCGTCCTTCGCAGGAGGAAGTGGGAGCGTCAGCTTTAGCTAGGCGAGCCACGTCATGACTGTTTGTTCGGTTCGCGTCGTCATGTGGCGGGTGACCGTGCTGGTGCTGCTGGCGGGCGTCCAGCTGGCTCAGCACGGAAGGCCGTCAGAAGCGCCAATGTGAGTCATCCTGCCACATTTCGCACCACATGTGACGTGCGCGATGTGTACGTGCGTAGACTACGCGACATGTCTTACAGCATGATGGAGTGGAAACGCAGTTCGGATGAAAGGTGTCCCGCTTACATTTAAAGAAAACACACCCTTAACCTTGGAACGATCAACTAAAATGGCTGCCCGTAGCCTTGCCGACCTTGACGCGGCTGACTGTGTCACGAGTCCGTCCAGAACCCTGCCGACCCTGACGCACCTGACTGTGTCACGAGCACGTCCAGAGCCCTGCCGACCCCGACGCACCTGACTGTGTCACGAGACCGTCCAGAGCCCTGCCGACCCCGACGCACCTGACTGTGTCGCGAGACCGTCCAGAGCCCTGCCGACCCCGATGCACCTGACTGTGTCACGAGACCGTCCGGGGCCCTGCCGACCCTGAAGCAACTGTGTGCCGAGCCCGTCCAGGCCCCTGCCGACCCTGAAGCAACTGACTGTGTTAAGAGACCGTCCAGGGCTCTGCCGAACCCGACTGGCAGATTACTTCGTGACTGACTGTGGTCTCGCCGACAGCCATCACGTTCGGCGGGGGCTCTGCGCAGACACCACCGCCGTCGAATGCATGCAAGGACTACGCCGGTCGTGACGGGGTCTGTGACGTCATCGCCACCTGTCCGGCACTGCTGCAGATCGTGCAGAACAGACCCAGTCGTCAGGACATCCAGAACGTGCGCCAAAGCATCTGCGGTAGCCGACGTATCAACTTCGTAAGTGACTAGCTCACCTGGTATCCTGCGGCTGCCTGATCTATCTGGTGAAAACATCTGGGGGCGCCCAGGATCTTCGCTAGGTGAGGGGGCAGGCGCGAACGGCTGGCCTGAAAGCTTCGAATGGGGGGGGGGGGGGGCACACTCAGATATCTCTGCTGTGTTGACCGGGGAGCGGGGAAGGGAGTCGGCAACGCAACGAGCACAATGGCGGCTCGTCAAAAGCTAGCGTTGTTGACGGGAGTCTAAACGCTGGTGTTTCGTGTAATGGCCTTGCGCAATAGAAAGGATAATCGGCTCAAAATACAGTATCACGTTAACAGTAATAAGGCAAGATCCAGCATTCCATTCTTACCACATGTATAACCGCGCATTGTGATAAAAATTCGTATCGAATGGTGCAGGCATTCAATGTGACCATGCGTTCGTCGCTGCTGAAGTTACTAGATTCTAAGTTACTAGTTTAAGAAGTTACTAGATTATATTCTAAACATGAAAGGCAGCACGTGGTTCATGACTTTTGACACGGCATGACAGTTTCGGTGCAAACTGAAGTCGAACTCAATCATTCTGAATCCAGTCCGTTCACTTTTCCCACATTGCTTGTAAATGGGCGATCTCCGTTCAGTCCAGAAAAATGAAATAATCCATGCCAATTCATCAGATATCTCCTACGAATCACTCAACCTAGTGTCAGATTAGGGCATATGCAAATGGCGCCATTTTTGGCAAACTTATAATGCGTCGAGTCCGTTCCGATTCGTTTTGGGCCGGTCAGCTTCCCACTGCATTTGACTTTCATTCGTGTCTCTGCATTTTAAACGATCCAATGCAGTCCAGTCTGTGGCGTAATCTTTGTTCGATGGATTTTTAGACTTCGTTAGGAGTGCTTATGTTTATTGACGGAGATAGAAGAACGACATGTGGGGACACATTTCCAAAGTTAGAAATAATTTAATGCTTATCAGCCAGCTGGGCGTTTTTCAGGGGTGATTGATATATTTCATATATCCGTGCCATCAAACGTTTCCTGCTTCACCCGAGGAGTGGGTGTTAGTGGACTAACCTTTTAGCTTGCGGACCCCTTGTTGATGGCTACTTGCGCCCCTGTTAGGTAGAGTTATGTGGGCATTCCCGGTGTTAACGATCAGATCCTATGTACGGGCTGTACTTAACTCCCGGCTGAAATGTGGGCATTCAGGCGCGAGTGGTTAACGATGCAGATCACTATGTGACGGGTCTGTACTTAACTCCCGGCTGACGAGTGGTTAACGATGCAGATCACTATGTGACGGGTCTGTACTTAACTCCCGGCTGACGAGTGGTTAACGATGCAGATCACTATGTGACGGGTCTGTACTTAACTCCCGGCTGACGTGTGGTTAACGATGCAGATCACTATGTGACGGGTCTGTACTTAACTCCCGGCTGACGTGACTGGCACCCTCCCTGGTCTCGGAAGTCTCTTCTACGTGGGCTTTGGGTCTTGTCTTGGGAGCATCTCTTCCTGGGTTTCGGGGTCAGTAAAGTTAGAGGCGCTCAGTAACTCGGTAAAGTCAGGGGCGCTCAGTAACTCGGTAAGTCAGCGGCGCTATTTGCTTGGGCATGAGGCGCCCTCTTGTGCTGCATGGAACACCATTGCACAGTTATCTGTACGTCCCGGTCTGTGTACGCCCCTCGACCCCGTCTGAGCGCACCGCAACACGAAAAAGTATGATTCCTGCTCTCTCGGGTTTGATCTCGATCTTGGAACGTATGAACTCTTGTCTCAACGATAGCTTTGGAGCAACGCTCGTTGGGCTTATCAGATCATGTATCAGACCATGTCGCCTTGGGGCTCCCACCTCCTTACCCGGTACGGAGGCCTAGCTGAGCTTGCACTAGGTCGAGGCTAGTGAACCTTAACCTGTCAGTCTGCCATTTTAACGCTCATCCACCTTAGCTTTGATGTGCTCATATACATGCACGAAGTTCGTATTTAACTATGCTTAGCGTCGTTCCTCTGCTTAAGTATTCAAGCATGCCTTTAATTATTTCTGAGGCACCCATTTACCTGAGTTGAGACTCTCTCTCCACTAGTGATCGAGGAGTACTCGCACTTGGTCAAGGGCCGCCGTCCACTTACACGCCTTGAGTGTCCTTCCACTTCGATCTTAGGCGTTTCTCTGCTAGGAAATTGGGACTCTTCTCTATCAAGACTAGCGGCGCTACGCTAACGACAAGCGCTGCTGAGCGTGCGCATAGCGCAACCTACATAAAAAAATTCACCTTTCGTGTCTGCGCAGAGATTGTAGACTGCTTTGGTATGTGCGTTGTTTATCTTCGTTGCATTGATTTGTGCTGCTGGTGCAGTCAGAGATTTCACCGAACAGGTTGCCATCACGCTGGTATGATCGAGTGATGGCAGTTGACAGATGTTGTCCTGTCAGAAGATCCGCTTAGTTACCACTGCTGAGTATTTGTCAATTGACAGCAGAGCCGGGTGTTAGCGTAAATGCCTGGAACAATGTCAAACATGTGCGGGTCATGTTAACACGCGTTCGGGTGGGGTTCATTTACCCACCCCCCGAAGGTTTTCCAGAATCGGTTCTGAACGGCGCGGCTAAGCGGCGCCAAATTTTGCATAGCTATAGACAATGAAAAAGTGGATTGTTTGGAATCAAAAATTAAGATGTACTTTGTAAGGCCGGTGACCTACGGCAGGTCAGTCAGGCCATGGGCTCAGGAAGTCAATTTCTCGGAAATCGCTCAATCTTATGCAACAACGGAGTGTTCAACAAAGCCATAATCTCTGAAATACTTTCTTACGTAAAATAGCAATCGAATAAATAAATTGCATTGACCTAGAGTCGTGTATGAAGGTCAGACCAAGTTTAAAACCAACCTATGCTAATTTTCTAGGGTTTTCTGTATTTGGTAGTTTCTGGTTCTCATTTCGAATTTATTGATAACGGAATCTGCATTACACACCTTGCATGGCTTTCTTAGAGGTCGGAATAGGTCACTGGCCAAAAATGACCCAGCCCAGCGTTTGGTTTTTAGGAGTATACTGCCTGGCGTAATATTTGCTGCTCATCAAAATGCAAAATTTAAAGCACTTTCGTATGATTTTGGTCACTATGACCTGCGAAAGGTCAAACAAGGTCACCGACCTTGAATGAGTATGTGCCATTTTTCTTAGAACAGGTATTTAGGTTCTGGGGGCACCTTTGAGACCAGCCTAGAGTTTGACCTTGTTTGACCTTATGTGACCCAAAAGCCATGACAAGTGACCTCAATCTATGACATAAGTGAGTTCACGTACAGGCCAATACACCCTGTAAGTTTGGTGTCTCTAGCTCCCTTGGTTCCTGAGATTTCGGGAGACGGGGAGCTCAAATTGAGCCTCACCCGAGCGAAAGATATACAACGGGCACCCGAGCGTGTGTTAATAGCACAGAGCGGCTAAAGGATGTTTTCGGCCCACAACGGCAACTTAAAGAATGCACCCTAACTCGTTAGTCCTTTTGGTATGGGTATCAAATTGTGCTCTGTCCGAATATGGTTGAACGTTGCGCACTTCACTGGCTATCGGAGTGTATTGCTGTATACAATTTGCGGCCTAAGGGGCCCAGTGGCAAGCACACAGACTGTCTACGTCTGCTCACTCCTGGCCGGGACAGGACGGCAGTGTTCTGTGACGGCGTGTCTCTTTGTGTGACCGGCAGCGGCCGGTGCCTCTGTTGTGCTGCGCCAGTAAGTCCCAGCCGCCCACCCAGCCGCCCACCGAGCCGCCCACCCAGCCGCCCACCCAGCCGCCGTCAACGGGCGGCTTCAACGGCGCGCCCGAGGACCACCCCAACCGGCGCCTACTGCCCTCCAACTGCGGCTTCAGCTTCACGGAGAGGATCGTGGGTGGAGTGGAGGTGGCGCTGGGCGAGTTTCCCTGGCTGGCCATCCTCGGCTATGAAGGTACCTTTCAGAACGGACGGACAACGGTTGGCTGGCTTGGGAATGGATGTTTTGTGTTGTGATGAGGGAGAGACAAACACCCCTGTGTCATCCTGCAACAGGGTAGCTAGGGGACAGTCCCGAGCTTTGACCAGACACAGTTTGTCCGAGTGCGGCTCGCGCCGACTCCGCAGCTCCACATGCGCCCTCCCGTCCGCAGTACAGGGGACCGTTGAGGTGGACTTCAACTGCGGCGGCGCCGTCATCAACGACCGGTACGTCGTGTCGGCTGCTCACTGCGTCACCGACCTGCCGGCCGGCTTCAGACTGGCGACGGTGCGCATCGGCGAGCACGACCTCACCAAGGACGTAGACTGCGTGAGTAGGCGAGCAGCCAGGGCGGGAGGAGCGGAGAGGGGGAGGGGAGGGGCGGGCGGGGGGCACACGCGAACACGTCGAGTGTGGCCAGCGGGATGGTCGAGTCGGCAACAGCGCTGCCCCCGCCTCTGGTCTTCGATGGGACGCCACTGCCAGCGTCCTCATGGAGATGACTGAGTTGATCAAAGAGGCGCCTTCAGTAAACCCGGCACCGAATGTGGGGTTGGTTTGTTACCAGTCAAACACCATCAGCCAAGCTCAGCTCAGAGCTGTTATGGTGTGATGCTTTTCGATTGGTAATTAAGTTGTTGCTTTGCCAGGAGTACACTACCGGGAATGCAAAGTACTACTTCAAATATTTTGATTCTGCCTACTGGACCGTACCTCACCCTCCCGGCTCCAGCAGCCCACCATGCCGCCCCCACCCTTCCGGCTCTAGCAGCCTACATTACCAGCCCCCTCCCGGCTCCAGCCGCCTACCATGCCGTCCCCCCTCGGCTCCAGCAGCCTACACCGCCTACCGCCTCCAGGCTTCAGCGGCCCACACTGCCGTACCTCCTCCCAGCTCCAGTATTCATCAGTCAGTTGAGTTTTTCGTATAATACAAGCCTGTGTTCTGTGTAGGTGGATGGCGTTTGCGCTGGTCCTGTGCAGGACTTCCAGATCGAAGAGATTATCCCGCACAAGGAATACAACTCGCCGAATCGCTTCTGGAATGACATTGCGCTGCTTCGCCTGAACAAGCCCATCAATAATCAGCTGGGCAGTAAGTGTGTCAACTCTTTGTATTGCATGTAAACGCGTAATTGGGGCCTTCCTGATCTACGCTTTCAGCTCCAGTTAAGATACCCGTCATCTCTGTTATTGGGTATTTGCTTTGCTATTTACTTCGGCTTCAGCGAAGCGTCAGTTTGGATAATTAGCGTGCTTATTAGGCTATTGGGCATTTTCCGCTATTTGCTATGCTGTTTAAGCTGCAGCCCCTGCATTTTTGTATTAATATGTATACATTTGCATGCATACATTATTTGTATTCATGCACGTTGGCTGAATTTTTAGTCTCACCCACTCGTGTCTCTTTTCAGCCTTCGTCGCTTCGATATGCCTGCCGTTTGGCAGCTTCAGGACCAAATCTTTTGATGCCCAAAGGCTTTTTGTCGCCGGGTTTGGCCTGACAACAGCATGTGAGTACTGACTTTGGCATTTATTTCTGTATACCGTTTTTGTCGTGGTGTCCTCGTGGCGTAATGGCGTCCTTGACCAAAAACAACAGCCCGTGTCTAACTTTTCGACGCTTTAAATGTTTCTCGCAAGTCTTTCCTGAGTTGCATAGGATAACCGTACATGTTTTAAACGGAAGCTGTAAAATATTCCTTTGATTCAAAAGTTATAGCCCTAGGGCTGTTTTAGTTGAGTCATCATCATAGAAGCATGCTCTTCAGTGTACAGGAGTTGCCTCTACCTATGCCCGTATTTACCTCTATCTTATGTTAACATTAACAAGTGCGAAGTTTGTCGGGCGTAGGCTTTTTATATTGCTCGTCTATTGTATGTCTTCGATGCGTGTGCTTGGTGCGTCTTAAAGGGATTATCCCACCTTGTTCGTGCTTTCCGCATTTTGACATTAGACGCGTGCGATTTGTCAGCAATGGTAGTTTCCTCGAAATCTTTCTGAATAGCCCAAAATTTATATCTGAATTCTCCGGCCTTGCGGTGTGCATCTCATTTGAGTCCCTGCTCACCACTATGAAAAAATACGTTGCATTTGCCTTGCTTTTTCCAACGTGAGTGTTCTGTATCCTTTGCAACACACTAATGCGTTAAAACAATCTTATAATAAATGCTGTGAAAGATTGAAACACTATGCTTATAAACAAAAATATATGCGAACGTGGAGCTATTAACACGTGAACTGAACGAAACATTATGCTACGGCTTCATTCTCCCCGCTTTGGCGTTTGCCACAATGCCTCTTCTCGAGGCGCGCTTCGGCTTTGGGAATGGGAGCATCACATGATCCATGCGACGCACTGGTTCAAACTTCAACCAATGTGCTCCTCGGTAACAGGCCGCTGCTCACTGGGCCAGGTAGCGACGTAACTAGCCCTGCGGTTTCACCAGAGTATGTTTCTGAAATATGCACCTAAGGTGGGATGCATCCTTTAAAACTGCACGAAAAGATTTGCCACAAATAAACGTGACTCAAAGGAGGGGATTTGTGTTGCTTTGCGGGCTGGTAGTATGTGCTATATGTGTGCAGTAAAAACTTGATGGCAAGGACAGCAGTCGCGTATCATCAGGACAATAGTACAAGTGTATAAAGTTGCAGTGAAATTTAAGTAAATTTAACAGACATCGCTAGACATGGCGACGGTTACAGTTCACACAATTCAGCACGGGCTCTGCGCGTCAACAGGGCAGCTGGAAAAATACTGAAACCACGCGACGAAATATATTTTTGACTCCATATGGAAAAGGAAAAAATGATACATTATGATTAGCAGAGGATATGCAGAACCTATGATATCCAATGACTGCCTTTTGGTGAATATAAAAGTGACTCTTAAATTCGAGGATCAAGAAAATTGCTGCAACGCCCGAGTGCGGATAAGCTGGCAATGGCAACGCGGGTACCTCACGCAAATCAATGGTCGCTGATGGGAAAAGGGTCTTGGTTAGAAAGAATGCTACCTGTACGGTCAGACGTCCCCCAATGTTTTTGTACTTTGCGGTGCTACGAAGGGTTGTACCCACGTAAGATGCCCCAATGAGGCACAATAATATAAATGACTGCAGATACAGAACATTTGGGAAGCTTGTCTTAACTTGAAGACAGATCCAACAGTTAATTATGTAGTGGGAGAGAAGGGTAAAGACCTTGCAGTAGGTTTGCCATCCCCTATTCCAGCTGTATCGACTTTTCCAATAGAGGGCAACATTAGATATTCACTTCGTCTTAGGGCTTCATAAACGGTCGGGTTTTTGCATATTTTGCATCCAAGAAGCCCTTTACGAAAATATTAATGACTGAAAGTGGGAATCCGTTTCCTTGAAAGAATGGTCTGAGCCGATCAAGCCAGGAACAAAATAGATGACAGTTGGAGCTTCAACAGAGATATCTGTAAATAGCCGTTTTCACACAACGTACCTTCAAAGCGTCAGGAATGGATGAGAAAAAGCTTAATCCAAGACCAGTGAACGTTGACTTTCTATAGGAAGAGGTTTCAAATTTGCTCGTCCTCCTCCTTCTTTAGCTTGATGTTAGAATATTGGACGTTAAGGTAAGTGAGAAACTGATGGATATACGACCCGTGCGGAAACAACAGAAAGGAGTATTCGATATATGGCTGGGAGAACCTTGGTCCGAGAGTCGGGGGCAGTTAAATCACAGGTATTCTTCGTTAAAGCACATACAGATATTGCCAAAAGTGGGTCTAAGTGTAAGTCCTTCCACCACGCCTTTTTGCGTGTGAGGATTTCGTGACAGTGAGTTCTGGGAAAGAGTGGAAACAAGCTGCAGCGAAACACATGAACGTGGGACAAGACTAAAACTATGCACGCAAATGTCTATCTTTGTTTTAAGCGGGATATTTGTGAAAAGGCTCAACATCCTAAAACTGTTGTGAAATGTGTTATGAAAATTGAAAAGATTGGTCAGAGAAATAGATAAATGTAATAAATCAGCCATCCGGGAACATTCCTCTGCGTGTGACGCCCACTTTAACATCCGTAAATTTTGGGTATCAGGGCGTTGCAGCAGTTCTGTCTATCCTAGGATTTTAATATCGCTTCATACTCATCGAAAAACTGCCATTGAATATCACTGGGTCTGCATATCCTTTGCAGATTATAATGTAGCCTTTTCATACGGAGTCAAAAGGTATTTCGTCGCTAGATTTCTTTATTTTTCAAGCTGTTCTGTTAATGCGCAGAGATCGTGTTGAGTTGTGTCAACTCAACCGTTGTCACGTCCACGATGTCGATCAAATGTACCTATATTTCTTTGTTATTTTGTATGAGCATTGTCCTGGCGGTGATACGCAGTGTATCGAAGCGTCGGCGACTTGCATAAATGATGGGTACTGCTGTCCTTACTATGACGTTCCTGCTGCTTCGTGCTCCCGAAGATGTTCCATTTGTGTGAATGGGGATCCACACGCGCTCCTGCGGAAAACGGTGGGTGGCTACCGCGATCGGGTCACCACCAGCCAGCCGTCCAGCCGCTGACTGTGCCTGCCCCGCCTCCTCTGCCGCAGTCGGCGACTCCAGCGAAGTGCTAATGAAGGTGCAGGTGCCGGTGGTGGCCCAGGACCAGTGCGCGGCCGTGTTCCGGCGCCAGCGGGCCGTCATCGGGTCGGGCCAGATGTGTGCCGGAGCCGAGAAGGGCCGCGACTCGTGCTCGGGCGACTCGGGCGGCCCGCTGATGGCCGTCGACCGCGTCACTGGGCCGCCCTACCGGCTCATCGGCGTCGTCTCGTTCGGCGTCACGCGCTGCGGCACCGAAAACGTGCCGGGCGTGTACACGCGCGTCACCGAGTACCTCAACTGGATCATGGACCACATGCGTGACTAGCAGGTCGCGTACAGCGGCGCTAGACGGGCGGGACCGGGCGGGTCTCCCCAAGCCGTGGCGGTGGCGCGCGCGGCCGCGCCGGGCAGGCGGGCCGGAGGACTGGCCAAGCTGTGGCGGTGGCGCGCGCAGCCGCGCCGGGCAGGCGGACCGAGGGACCGGCCAAAATGTAGCGGTGGTGCGCGCGGCCGCGCCGGGCAGGCGGGCCGGGGGGCTGGCCAAGCTGTAGCGGTGGCGCGTGCGGCCGTGCCGGGCGGGCGGGGTCTGGCGAGTTCCCGCAAGCCGCGTGAGGGTGGGGCGGGGTCGGTGGGTTTCCCTAAGCGCATGCGGCCGCGCCAGACAGGCGGGGACGGGGGTCTGGACGAGTCGTGGTAGGCTAATCCGTCATGTTCGACAAGTCGCACCGATTGGTCCGCTTACTCGATTTTACAGCTTTGTTTAAACGTTCGTTGGTCGTCTGTCTGTCCTTACGCAGCGCCGTTTACATACGCATCGGGCATGTTATTACCCAGGTACCAATGCATCTAGGGTAATCAACACTGGGAACGATTCTTTTATGCTGTAAGCAGAAGCCCGTCATGAAAAACTAGGCGATGTCACGGAATCTGAAACTAGCCGGGATGGGTTGTGAAGATATCGTCTGTATATTTATATCGCTGGCTTGTGATCTGATAAAAGGTCTGCTTGTATGCTTTTGAATTTTAATCCGGTAGCTGGCCATTTTACAAATAAACTCTCTTCCGTACATCGTATGTAACAGATACTTGCTAGCGAGTGGTGTCTCACATGAGCCAAATCGGCGTGAGCCGTAAACCGTAGTCCTTGGGTTCCTTTGTGCTATGGGCGCACCTTCCTGCACCCTGTCTTTGGTCATTGTGTTTGTTCTCCAATGCGTGCAAGCTGGAGGCGATTCGGCGAGTTGGCGGGGGAGGGGGGGGGGGGGAGGGAACTCTTGGAACGGGGGAGTGACCGGGAAGGTAAGTAGAGGGAGAGGAGGAAGAAGGTGGCGTAAGTGACAGCGGAATTCGCAAGCACGAAATTGATGTATTTTCTACGCCAAAAGTCATCTGCATTACTTTTGCTCTGCTATTCGAAATCGAGTGTATAACTGGCAGGTATCAGGCCCTGTCACGGTCGGTGACTTCCACTGAGCTCCGTGACATGGCCGCTAGCTGAATCCGAGGTTATTTTCTTGTTCGCGGGTAGGCTAGGGCAGCCGTCGCAGTTGCCGACGGCGGCAGGCACGCAATACTGCGCCAGCCACAGAGAAAGCCGGCCGTCGGACGATTCCCGCGGCGTAGCATCAGATGTTCTAGATGATGTTGAAATTCCAGATGTTCCAGACGTCTTAAGAAAGAAGATACCGTTGTGAAGGTCTCGTCAAATCATGACGAATGCACACCAAATTTGTGATCTTGGGTTAAAGGTGAGGTCACCAGAGGACACGAAAAGAAAAATGTTGGTTCTGATAGATGCAGTTGAAGTGAGTGTTTCACATTTGAAAGTATTAAAGGAAGCATCATATATGATAAAACAAGCTCACTTATAAATATTGGTATATTTTTAAGTAGAAAAGATTGCTCTAGGCACCACAGTTTTTCTATTTAGTAACTACGCTCCTCGGTACGTCAATGTTTGACATCATCGGACCATGCAAATAATGAATTTTGAGCCAATTGACGATTGTTATAACTTGGAAATGATCCTCACAGACGCCAAATATGAACGACTCCACCGTTTTATTTCTCTCGGCCTTGATCGCCACATGGTTTATGTAATGACAAAATTTATATCCCGAGGACGCCACAATAAATGGGACCCCACCCCTAGCCTGACCCCACAAGGGTCAGGCTAGGTCAGGTCACCTTTCAAATATGGGCTTATGGTAAGGTAAAGAACGATACTTTTTGCTTTTTCACAGTGTGCCTCGCCTAAGTTTATTTTATAAGGTGTAGTGGGAGAAAAGTATCCTTGTCTAAAAACTATTTTAGGCTGGCTGACAGATCAGCTGAGTTTGGGTCAACTTACAACGCATCCAAATGAGGTGCTAACCGGGCTTAGGCGACAGGTACCATGCTTTTCTTCGGTTTGAAATAGTGTGTTGTACATCTACAGGCACTCAGGATCACGTAGCTCTTATACATATTATGCGTAGTCCCTTCGACGCTTAGCAGTGTAGTTGTAACAAAATGAGAAATACGTTGGTACATCGAATTATGCGTCATCAGCTTCACAAACAGGATTAGAGGTGGTTACACGCGTCGCACTCGTTCATCTAGCACCTCCACTACTAATAACGGAGGTCGTTGACCGTGAAAACCTCATATGATCTTGCATGTACTTAAGTATGTACCTCATATGTACTTAAGCATGTGCCTCATATGATCTTGCATCTTGCATGTACTATTATCACGAGACCTTGTCGCGCTTTAAAATAAGTTCAAAAGATGTTTTCAGTGTAGCATGCGAATTCTGCGCGCAAAGCTACTTATCAAAACTGCCTGTTTTTAGCTTAGCATGTGCTTTGCAGAGGGCATCCATAAAGGTAGATCATGACCTAGGCCAATGTCGCGTGGTTTGTGGTTTTATGATGGCGGCGCATCTGAGTATCATCGGCGCATCTCTTTTCTTTATGTGCGAACATTAAAACTTTACAGAAATAAGGCAAATTTGCGTTCTTTACGAAACAAATTGTCCCCACTTTAGGTCACTGACCTGGCCAACTTAAAATAAATCTGAAACATGCCTACTGCAGGTATTTTCATGTTACATTGCCTTAGCAGCTTTGAACAATGGCAAATAGCATGCGAAAAATGTTAAACGTGGTCAATGTGTGTTAGAAGTCGACCCCTTTGAACTGACCTTTAATCATAATGCTAACCTACGTCACTGACCTTCTTAGAAGATCAAGACTTCAATTTTGCACAGATGTCAATTGAATAGATGAGTAGATACCCCACATTTGGTGTTGCTGCAAGCGATCATTTCTAAGCTATGCCTGAGAACCGCGGTGTTTAAATCGACTTCCCCGGCCAGGCGAAGGCCACTTGAGCCGCCGTGGCAGATAGCAGGCGTAATTATCATTAATTAACTTTCTTATTTGTTTATACCCTACTTGCAATGTTCGCATCCTTGAATTCACTCTTCGCGCAAGTCCAGGCGCTTGCTCTCTTTGCTCTGGCCGTTTCAGGTCTCTACGTGTCCTGCGGGAGGGAGGATATGTGGGACCGAACCCTATAGCGCAGCCCGGTACCGTTCAGCACGCCTGTCAAGGCTGCACGGCACATGCATTTTGCAACCATCGATGCGTGGCCGCGGCTAGCTGCAAGATTATATCTCCACGTGCGCACCCCACGTATGCATCCCACACGTATCCTGAATACCCGCAAGATAACCCGAGAGTCGTTTGGCGAATCGTACACGAACGTACACGAACGTGCATTGGGATGACAACGGCATGCGAGCACCAACAAAGTGGTGTTCCATGTTCGTCGCATCCACTTAAACGTGCGTGTGTTGGCTCTAAAACGCCGATGGTCCCGTTTCTATTCGTCAATGACATCCGATTTGAGGGCCAGAACGTCGCCGTCCTGAAGTACGGACGTCACGTTGGGCGCCAGCCGCAGGGCCGAGGAGAGGAAAAGGGAGCCGCGCACGGGCACCCCACCTCGGTGGACGAGGCCACGCGGCGCTCGGGCCGCCGCTCGCCGGGCGGACGTGATCAGTTCCGCCGCGCCGCATGCATGGGATCCGAGGGCCGCCGTCGACCAACCCGGTCCGGGCGCCGACAGCCGCCTGTGGGAACGGGCCGCCTGTGAAGGTCGTGAGACCTTGGCGCGGGCACCGAGTGCAGCGATACAGCAGCTCTAGACGGCCCTCCGACATGCTTAAAGTAAGCAACTGTCGGCCCATCAGATGGGTGTTGTCGTTCAGCAAGCCATTATATGACCCTAGCTCACCGCAGAGCCTCCGTTCGCGGAATGGCCGGATGGGCCGCGGAGCCGTCGACCGACAAATCGTCAGATGGGCCCACAGAGCCGTCGACCGACAAATCGTCAGATGGGCCCACAGAGCCGTCGACCGACAGATCGTCCGATGGGCCGCGGAGCCACCGCTTGATCGACCGTCAAATGGGCCCGCGGACCCCCTTGCTGTGTTCAAATTAAGAAAAATAGAGCTGCACGAAAGACGACAGTAGGTTGGCCGCAACGAGATCTCACGACTGGGAATGATTTACACCTTGCCAGATCATAAGCCACATTCCGTCAGGTCCAAGGTCAATTTTTCCATAAAATAAAGGTTTTAAGCTTTACATGCCAATAAGTACGAGACCATGCCCCTGCCCCCTGGGCCGGTCGTGAGGTTTTGGTGACTCGAAAAGGAACCAAAATTTGATGATAAAAGATACCAACACCATCATTTTGGAACAACCCAACTATTCTTTTTAAGAGGCGCCAAGTTTCAGGGGACCAAAAAGGGAACAAATTTTTATTTTCGAGACCAAATTCCAGGGGCACGGCAATGTCCGTGCCGTGTCCCTGGAGGAAATTCCTGATCGGCCCATGCTGCGAGAGAGCACCAAATTCTCCAATGCGTGGTACCGCGACCTGCATCATAAAGCACCAATTCTCAGACGGCATCACGGGGGCCCTGAACCCTCATTCGAAGAGGACGCAAAATCCAGGAGCAAGTCATGTTGTGCCTCCCACTCCAATGGATTCCTGAAGCAGAACCTTGAGCAAAGGGGCACAACAATCTTCGTTGCTTGGCATCATAATCTGAACTTCAAGAGACACCAAACCAAAACGGGCCATTCAAATGGCCGAGCACCATAATTACGAACGGGAGAAAAATCCAGGGACATCGCAATTGCTGTGCCTCCCACCTTGGCGAAATTGTGGACCGGCCCGATCGGTGAAGTGGCACCAAAACATAATCCATATTTTCCACAGGCACACAACCCCGGGGAGCACCGCAAAGGGCCCAACAACTTTCGTTTTCAAGAGACAACATTGCAGGGGACACCACAATGCGCGTGGCTCTCTGTTGACGGAATCCTACATCGTCCCATTCGGCGAGGGGCACCATTACCTTTTTTAGGAGCACCATAGCATTTATGTCATGGAGGCACAAAATACAAGCGGATATCAAAAGAACACCGACAATTTCCTTGTAAGCAACACCAAAATATAAGGGCACCAAAATTCCTTTGCTTTTTCAATTCTGATCAACTCTTGGATCGGCCGCTGCAAAGAAGAGGTACCAAAATACGTTCATTTTGGGCATCATAACCTTGATTTTTAATGGACACCAAATTTTAAGAAACGCCTGAAAGGTCCCCAAACCGCTATTGCGAACTGATGAAAGTTTCCAGGGGCACCAAAAATGACCCAACATCTTTATTTTCGCGTGGAGCCGATTTCCAGGGGCATGCACCATAAGTGCCGTGCGTGGAGAGGAGGGATAGGGCAACAGAGGTAGGTAACTCCCGCCCCTTTGGCTCCGAGGATCCAGATAATCCCGATCCCGAATTCCGAGGATCTCGAGGGACCCCTTGAGTTTCATAGGACCGCCAATCAGGGCCCCATTGGAGGGTTCGAAGAGCAGGCCGACGGTTATATGAAGGGACCGTACGCCGAATGCAGGACCCTCAGATGTCAAAATGTCATTTGCGCCGAGCGGAGGCTCCCTGGAAAATTAAAAGCCTATATGTAAAGGGCATGCTCCACATTTGAAAACATCGAAGCAAGCACCAGATATGATGAGCTAGGCTCACTGATAACTGGTCGCATATTTTGACGTGGAAAAGATTGCTCCAGGCAGCACGATTTCTCTATTTGGTAAATATGCTCCTCGACGCGTCATTATTTGACTACGTCATGGTGCCTTGCACAATATTTATTGAGAGAAATTGACACTCGTTTTACCTGGAAGTCGTGCTCACAAACGCCATATATGAGCGACTCGACAATTATGTTTTTATTTGCCTAAGTCGCCGCAAGGTTAATGATTTGGCAAGATTTAAAATGACGCTAGACGTCACGGATGTCTCGGTTACCTTGAAATGATCTCCGCGGGATAGTCTGCACATCTTTGCGATCGTGTAGGTCGAGAACTTAAGGGGTTTAGGTCCTTAGAAGGGCTGGACTGTGAACCGCACCAAACGATCTTCAAGATGGCTCTTTCAGTTCAAAACACCATGCAAATGTGGAATACTTCCTTTAAGAAGCTGGCTTTAGCTGACTGAGACCACCAATAGCGAACAGCTGGTTTCATTCCGGCCTGGGTCCTAGTGGACCCTTAATCCAACGGGGGCTAGGCCGGGGCCCGCAAATGTTAATCAGAAGGCCTCCTGCCTTGTCGGGGCCCCTGAAACAGTGAAGTTCCCCCTGTGTTGGTCAGAGCCAACAGCGCCTGACAAGGGACCCTGCGTCAGCAACGAGCCCCAGTTCGGCTACAGGTACATTTTCTAAACAGGGACGGGGATTAGCCCCAAATGTCAGCCCAAAATGTAGCTTCTTACGTTGATCGAATAGCCCCGGACGTTTTACTAATGCGGCCCGGAGGGTTTCACCAGTGCAAACTCTCTTTACAATGACAGGAGGTACGAAAAATTACGATGCAAAGGTTCGCATTCACACTCAGACAGTACAAAGGCTCCGTATGAGTCAGAGACCCCAATATCAAACGAGGGATCCCCGCACCGTTTTAACCAGCGGCCGATAAACCAAATTGGTGTTTCGGTGTCAAGTAGCGGATTCTCTGCGCCGATTCACAGCTTTTTTGCAAAGAAAGGGGGGGGGGGTGGGCACCAGGTTTCCGGGGGCACCACAATGAGGAGTGGCCTTGTAGCATCAGCCTGCCGTATGCTGGTCACCATCCGAGTGGTGGCGTTTTTAGGACGGGCGCTCAATATGGGGCCAGCCATACCACGTGGCTCTGCTGCCCTCTCGCTGCCCAACATAAAAGTGAATTCCTGCGCGCCTGAAAGCGGGCTTTGAGGATAATTTGATTAAAGGAACGTTCAGTGTGAGCCATGTTTTTATAAGCAAGCTCCGTAAGTTGGGCATACTTATAGACATGGACACACAAGACATGGAAATAGTGTTGTGCTCAACGTCAACAAAATCGATAACATCACACTAACACAGGCCAGACGGTGATTACACAAGTTTTCAAACGCAATAAGCAACGAAAGAAATCGATCTCCCCCCCCCCCCTCCACCGGAGGCTTGGAAACCAGTCTGAAAGTCAAACGTGTGCTTACGCTGTCATAACGGGTTTCGGTGACATAACAATGAAAAGATCAAGACCAAATGAACTTAGCTCTTTGTAAACACCACGGTAATTGCTTTTCTTCCCATGGGTAATGGATATTCTTGCACTTGTGAACAAAAGTGTGCGAGGTACCTTGGTCATGGAACGAATGAAATAACGAAAATTGTGAATGCATGTATGTAATTCGAAACATTGCTGCAAGGGGCATGCAACCATCCCATTCTTCGAGGCTTATTCCTTGTATAAGAGTTTAGTTTGGAGTGTTTTGAAAAGTTTTGATGAATTTAACGTTTGCCTGTGCAACGCAAAACTAGGAAATGTTGAAAAATGGTTAGGTCTTGTCTTCTCACACGAAGTCAAGGTATCGTTCAGCTCTCGCTGCTTGATTGAGATCGGTGCTGCGCAATGTGGATTTCTGGCGTTGACATCAAATCAAGTTATCGCAGACAATCAATGAGACGCTTTTGCGGTTAGATCTCATTTTAGCAGTCATGACACACGAAGAACTGTGAAAAATAGTAACTTATAAATAATAGTAAAAATATATAATGGTAAATATATAAATAATATATGATATAATACTATAATAATAAAAATATATAAATATAACGGAAAAATTTGAACAATAGTAATAATATATAATAGTAAAAAAATAAAGTTACACCTCGCCTTCCAAACAAGGAGGGCGCCAAACTACGAACAATTTTTCTCGCGGTGGAACAGTTGCCAAATTAATAGCAGCCTCACTCATCGGGTAAAGTTGCCGTAACCTATTGTCGTTTATCTGCGGAACGAACCCTCCCAATCTTATTTTATATCCTAAGTTTTATCTTGCGCTTTATTTCTTACACCTTGCTCTTCTTTGATGGCTACAGTAAGCTAGTGAGCCTACCAAGGGCGACATGCTCTCCACCTAATATTATTCGCGGGCTTCAGTCGATGCGGGACGGTCTTTGACACCGGATCACACGCGTCCTACATGGCCATACTACATGGCCTTGCACGCGTCTGACGCCTCACTCGGTACATTGGAGAGACGTCCAGCATTCGCTGAAAACCCAGTGTTAGCTGCGAGTGGGCAAATATCGACGCTCATCGTCAAAACGACACATTTATAGTCAGCGCCGCGTATGGATGCGTAGGCTGGTTAAAAAGCAAACTTCTCTTGAAGGTCGTCAGCTGTTTCTGGGGAACGGCGTCTGCTAACGGTAACAAAAAATAGGTTAGTCGAGCCAATAAGTACGATCACATCAGGGTTATGCCAGAAAGAGTCGTTCGCTCACCGTGAATACGCAATTTTTTCACGCGTTCTTGACTGATAACCTACGTTGAAACGCTACATAAAATTCTGGATCTGCAAAGTGCATGTTCGATGTTATGTAGAAGAGTCTTAAAGCTCACCAGCTCACCTTGAATTCCAGCTATTCTAGCGATTTGCTCGTCCTCATAATACGCTGAATTTCGTCTCAGCTACAGTACAGTTTGGCCGAGCCTGCCGCTTGTCAAAACGTGCACCCGCGGTCCGATTGCTGCACGCGATTTTGGGAGGCGCGGCAGTGGCTGTCGGCGACAGTTTCGCGCATATCGAATTCTTCAAAGCGAGTGTGGCAACACCACGGCGCATGAGGGCTGTCCGTGACGCAGCCTGGTCGGAAGCGCTCTATCTGCGCCACTTCCGACCAGGGTGTCGCGCGCGACCGAGCCGGCGGCGTCGCAGTGACCGCCGAGGAGCCAGCCACTGGACGCCGACCCGTCAAGCACGTACTGCGACCCGACCCTCCAGTGGTAGGTGCCAGTCGGCTGCCGTGTCTTCACACACGATCTGATCTGGTTTGGCTTGTGTAGTGTGCGCTGGCCGGGAGCTTTGCGCTGCAGCGTTGTGTTTTGTCACCGATCTGACAGGGCTCTGGACTTCTGAGGCATGTCTAGACTATGCTGCGCGTGTTTGCTGCGGCAGCTTCAGGATTCGATTTGAGGACCCCTGGATATTGGTCGGTGCGTTTGAGGTTTTAATCCGACGTTCCTTAGTCACAGATGAGTGTTTTCGTTCAAGCCCGTCGCTTGTGAACAGTCATTAAAAACGTCTGAAACAGGTTTTCGCACCTTTGTCAGTTGCAAAAACGCAAGGGGTGTGCTCCATCACGGATCTTGAGCAGCATACTGGAGAGCCACAACTGTGAATGTCATCTAACTGCTTTTGCAGCGTCAGTTTGACCGAACCTTTATATCCCTGTAGAATGTGCCTATGCGGCCGTATGTCGTATCCGCGGGTGCAATCATTAGCCTCAGCAAGTTTGCTGATGGTTCTCTTCGGTTACAGTTTAAAGCTCTCCCATTCACTCTTCTAATACATTTCTCGTAGAAACCATGGTTCTCCTGGGAGTTTTCGGAAAACTGCATGACATTATCAAAATCGATGGAAAAAACAAGTCCATCACAGATAACATCGTGTTCCGGCTGCACTACAAGTGGACCCGACTCCTTCTCTTCGTCTTCTGCATTATCGTCTCCCTCAACTCATTAGTAGGTAAGAGAGCACCACTGCCGAATCAAAACCGACGCCTTCACTGAACCTCTTGTCCTCTTCCGGGACGCAAGACTGCAGCTCAAATTTGAAATTACCCATGACGTCACTAGCGGCAATACGCGAAGTAGACGCCCCCTCCAACGGGCTTACGCGTATTGTTTTGCATAGCCAGTTTGACACAGTTCAGTGACATTTATAAATCATGCCCTTTTTACTCGTTGTTGTTCTCACTTCCGCAACCAACAGCGAACAGCATCCAGGGCATGTGATTATAATTATTGCCATATGCTTCGTTATATACTATGTCATAATATATTAATATCATATGAGAGGCCCTAGTGGCTTGACTTGTCTGTCCTAACAATATTGACAATTAAAGACACTTCCAAATGTTGAGACATCAGCAACCTAAACGGAATGTTCCACATTCAAAGATATTGAAGCAAGCGTCAGGTATGATGAAGTAAGCTCGCTTATAACTATAACTATATTTTTAAGTGGAAAAGACTGCTATAGAAAACACAAATTCCATTTGTATTAAGGATGCCCCTCAACACGTCATTGTTTGATTACATCATCGTGTCTTGCACAACATTGATTGAGAGCCAATTGACAGCAGTTATATGTGGAATTTGTGCTCACAAACGCCACATGTGAACTAGTCAATAATTATATTTCGGGGGGCGTTGATTGCCACGTGACCAACGTAACGACAAAGTTTGAGTAACATCATTATGACGTCATGAATGCCTGACTGTCTTTGGAATATTTGTACGAAAGAAGATATTGATAAGACAGCAGAAATAGCCTTGTTCCTTGTAGAATAACCAGGAAAATGCAGAAATATATGCATTGATTTTTCGGCTGCATGCCTTCATCGAAAAGAACATCGGTAGGGTATTCGTTTCCCACTGATATTCGTTTCGATAAAGGCATGTAAGCGACATATCAATGCATCTATTTCTCCATTCTCCTAGTTATTCTACGAGGAATAAGGCTATTTGCACTGCCCTCTCCATGTGTATTGTTCCTTGCATATACACTCAACAACTTACGAAAATATTGAACGGAATGCTGCAAGTCTACGCGGAATCTAAGTGCTTGCTAACAAAATACTCCAAAGATAGAGCAAAATAACAGCCAGAGATGATGCATAGTAGCATTCTTTCACTGGAAAACAGAAGAAACGATGCTACACCACGAGGAAAAAGATTTGAACCCTCAAATGTGAGCTTTCATTCAACAATTGATGACGACGTCCGCTTTCCAATGAGCATAGACGGTACTCCTGGCGATGAAGAATTGCATTCATCTGACGTCCAAAGGCCGATGACGGTGACGGTGCTCGCTGCACACGTCAGGGATCTGCCCATAGGAAGTCATGGAAAGGCTGAGTCAATCCGAAATAGAGAAATGACAGTCAAGTCATGAAAAAGACATCGACAAAATATAGATAACTCTCCGAAAACTACGTTCTCTAGTTGTAAACTGGTTTGTCGGTCTTCAGCCCAAATCTGCAACAGACGTTAACATGAGCGTAGTTTTTTTTAGGATAAAACCAGCAAGCAGTGTCATAACTTTGTACTGGGCCCCAAGAATAAATTCAAATGAAAAAAAAACTGAACAAAAAACTCGGCCGAAAATAGTTGAAAGGAAAAGAAGCCCACAGGCATAAAAGATGATCCAGAAAAAGTCCAGGACAGTAAAGTGTAAAGTAAAGTAAAGTCCAGTAAAAGTAAAGTGACAAAGGTCGACAAGGACAAACATCGACAGACAAAAGCCGAATCGGAACAGAATCAAAGAACCAAAAGGAGATCACGAAAGATATACATGGTCAAAAGGCTGAATTCAATACAAGTCGGCACGGACAAAAATCCAGTCGGAAGAAGTGGAAGGACAAAAGTCCATCGGGATAAAAGTTGACAGAAATAAATGAAGCATAAGAAAAAAAACTTGGAAGGGATAAATGTTGGCAGTCATAAAATATTAGAGAAAACTCAACTTAAGAAGCCGACAGTAATATATGTCTTATTAGAAATGCTGTAATGAATAAAAGTTGACAGGGATACACAACAGCGAGAACCACAATTCATCGGACAGGTTTCTCGTGGTAAACGTCTATTTGGATAACAGCAAACAGGCAGACAGCTCAAAAGGTTTTAGACGCGTGGGTCTCAATTATTAGATGCCTGGCATGAGTGATGATGCCGTTGATTGCACTCAGGTACGCCTATGGACTCCATGGATTTCGCTACCTTGCATTACTGGGTCCTCTAATTTGGCCCCACCCGCGCTCACCGGGCAGGCACTCCTGACAAGAACCCGGCCTTCGAGCGCTCACGATCCTATCATTCGGAACGCGCTCGAAGGCTATCAGATCGCCGATCGCTTTAGGTATTCTGCTAGGCGGTTTGCGCATGAAATATACATAGAGGCCTCTTATTCATGCTAGCCTCTACGTACCTGCAATTTCTTTCTCAAGCCATTTCCTGGGACGGTCGCGAGCAACACAGGCGCCGATGGCAGGAGTCGGCGCACAGCGGCGTCGCCCGTCGTGAATATCGTATTTTCGCCAGTGTTGGTTTTGGACTTTTACGTGCATGGTTTTCAGTGTTGGCTCCTGGTTCTCACTTCCCTTCTAAAAACAAGATCTTGGAACCTTGATTCCGACAGTTTTTTCTTAAATGGCACCCTCTGGTTCCTGAATTATATTAGTTGTATTGCAAACACAGTACCCTGGTTATCGGTCGTCATTGTTTTATCGCAAACAGAAATATACAAAAATAGGCTCCTAGTTCCCGCTGGTTCCTTCACAAGCACAGGCACCTAGTCGCTGATTCTCATAGGTTTTTCACAAATAAGAGCCCATGGTAACCTGATCCCATCATTCATTTTGCAAACATCAGGCTGTGATTCACGTTTTCCACTGATATTTTCAGTTCACGCTGGTGAAGTGTTTTCGACCCTGTCGAAATTAGTGCTTTGTCGACTTTATGTCTTTCGACTTTTAAGCCTTTGACATTAATCACTTTTGACGTTGCGCTTTCGCTTTTTCCGTTTCAATTTGTATCCAGGTCGACTTTTATTTTTGTCGACCTTTTGTGGCTCGACGTTTTTCCTTTGACTTTCGTGGCTCGACTTTTTCCGCTTATCTTTTTATCCTTGTTGACTTTTATTCATGTCGACTTTCATCCCCGATGGCTTTTCTTTGTCGTTTGACCTTCTGTCCTTCGACTACCTCCGATTTGACTTTACCTTGTCGACTTTTGGTTGCTGTATTTTTTCGTCGAACTGTTTTCCATTCTATTTTTTCAATCTAACTTTTGTCTGAACAGCCTCCCGACCAGTTAAATGGTTGTAGGCATTGAAAAAAGTTGAGTTGATGATAAAAATGGAAAGAAGAAGTCTTCGCAGCCTAGTTTTTCTGATTGTAGCTTACCAAGTTTACTTTGCGGCTGGCCGTGTCCAGCAGCACCAGACCCTGACCCCTAGCCATCGAGGTCAGCAACGAGGGGCGAGGCCGGTTTTGAAATGTAGTCTTGGTTTCGTGCCACCTGGGCCCTGGGGCGTGGTGGGGGCGATCTCCTGGACGGCCGGAATACAGGCTCACCTGCGATATATCTCGGAGGCCTTCAGTCTGTCTCAATCTGTGGCGCTTGCGCACTTTAAATCTGTTTCAGTACTCATCCGTATTTTAGGCAGTTTTCTAATCAGATCTGATCAACGGTGTTGTGCAATCCCAGATGACCGATAGCAATCCGAGAAGTGTCCTTACGCAATGACAGAATATAAGCAAAAGTGAAAACGACGTATTAGGCTAAGAACAAAAGCCGATAATGCCGTAGCATGCCAGATGATGGGGGGGGGGGGGGGCGCACAACCGCCACTCTGCGATTGGTGGCAGGGGGAGGTGACACGGCGCTGAAAATGCATGGAGCACATCGCAGGAAGGCCTCTGAATATGGTCGCTTGAAACGAAATTGGTATAAGAAACTCAAAAAAAGCTCAGATTCATGTCCACAAATAGCAAAGGCAATTCTAACGGAATCCATAGTTCACATCCTAAACATATCTCACAGAAGCAGTGATTGCCTCACTGGCTCATAATCATCCCTCCACGCACCGCACATCGAAAGGGTGACTCACCTCAAGCGTCACACAACGGCCGGAAACCCCCGGAGCTGTGGGCGAGGTCGGCTGTCGGCCTCGTCATGCGGTCGGGGAAACTCCGTCAGCCAGTGACGAGGGCATGTCGACAGCCACCACCACCGGCTGAAGACCTCAGGGCGTGAGATCCCATCAGGCTCGGTAGCACCGGTCGGTACAGTACACACAGCACAGTGCATATGCATTACTTTGTCAGGGCAGCAACAGAGAAAGAACGCGATGTATGCCGGTTGCGTTCAGGAATCATTAGTCTGCTTCAATGTTTTTCGGCTACCACGGTTTTAAAACAAGAACCCAAGCTGATTGGGGCTCACAGAGGCTATCACTTCAACCAGAGCAAGGTCTTGCCATTACGGTGTCTGCAGCTCAGGACCACATTTTTGGAAATGCAGACCTTGGCACATTCGGTATACAATATTTTTATTTAGTCACTTGGTCTACCAGTTGCACGTCAAGCTAGTTTTGAACAGCTCTCATCGACTGCTTGGAGTGCCACAGATTATGACTGGGCCCAGTGGTAGAAGCAGTTAGCTGACCCATCTGAGATTGGAGCCGTAGCAGAGCAGTCTGCTTTTCAGTCCCATTCCTCCAAATGTTTTCAAATCGGCCGTCGGCTATCGTAAATTTGCCATTGTTAGCGACAGCACCTATTTAGAGCAAAAGATCTTACCACAACCTCACTAACAAAATCGCCTCACCCTTGTGCATGGCAAAATGTCTTGCCACAACCTCATTGACATAATCGCCTCGCCCTTCTGTATGACAAAATGTCTTACCACAACCTCACTGACAGAATCGCCTCATCCTTCTGTATGACAAAATCACGTGCATTGTAGACCACACTCGAACTGTTGATAACCACATGTTCCAATTTCTGGCCACGGCGGCTGATTCATATTTGACTGTTTTTTATACTTAGTTTGTAAGATATAAGTGTTTATTTCGCCTTGCCTGTTGACATACTCATTATTTGTCGGTTCATTTACAACTGATTACTGAATTATAGCAGTGTGAATATCACACAGATGTTTACCGGACGTCAGTCATGTTCATTTCGTTTCACAGGGAAGCCAATTGCCTGCACGGGCGCGTCGTCAGATCGTCTCCAACATGTGATGCAGACCTACTGCTGGATCACAGGCACCTTCACATATGAGAAGTACTTCGGAAGCGCGAACCAGATCGGTGCGTAATAGCTAATGAGGAGCAGGGTAGGAGGTCTGAGCCCATTATATCCAAAGACCGGGATATAGTCAGCGCCAGAGTGGTGCAATGGTCAAGAAAGAGACGCACACGAAGGAAGACAATGACAAGAATCATGCGGAACAGGCCGCTGTTGCTTATGGTGCCCACACAGCTTGGGTGCCATTGCATTGCAAAGCTAACAGGGGCGATACTGCTTCAATGTCCCCAGGATATCTTTCCACACAACAGCCTTGCATTTAAGTGAACAATGTTTCTCTCCATCATACGCGATGTCTTATTGATAATCTAGTGTCATTTTGTGCCTTTTGACCCTGTCCTATTGCAATGGGCAAAGCAGCTCGAGCTTTCAGCATCAGTGATCCGTCCACTCATATTTATTATCTTCGATTCACGCCTAACGATTCCTTTAATTATGGGCTTAGCCTTCAACGTTTATCCGTTTGAAACGGGCCACGTGCTGCTGTCGTTTGGCCGAGACAGGCCGCCACGAGAGCCCGCCTCAGTAACGGCTTGACCCCCAGGGGACGACAAGCTTTCTGTGATCGGAATCGGGCCTGGCCACCCGGAGAAAGACGAGAAACATCACATCACCTACTACCAGTGGGTGCCGGTCGTGCTGTTCCTGCAGGGCGTCAGCTTCTACATACCGCACTGGATATGGAAGATGTTCGAGGACCATCGCATTCGTAAGCTAGTCGACAGCATGGTGGAAACGAAACTAGAGGAAAAGAAGCGCCGAGAGCGACAGGGAAAGGTGATACGTTACCTGCTAGACAGCCAGGGCTGCAGCCGTTGGTACGCCTACCAGTACGTATTTTGCGAGGTACTCAACTTGTTAAACGCTGTCATGAACATCGCATTAGTGGACAAGTTCCTCGGCGGCAACTTCTTCACCCTCGGCACCAAGCTGATCCAGTATGATCCTGAAGATCCGAAGGCAATTGACCCGTCCCACTACACCTTCCCCAAGCAGACCAAGTGCACCTTCCACTTGTTCGGCTTATCCGGCACCACGGAACGGGTGGACTCAATCTGCATCCTGCCGGTGAACATCTTCAACGAGAAGCTGTATGCAGTGATGTGGTTCTGGTTCATCCTGCTGACGGCAGTGACGGCGGCAAACCTGGTCTGGCGGGTCGCCATGATGGTCTCGCCCGTGCTGCGCGTATGGATCCTGCAAATGAAAGGCCACTCGCGCGACGTTGGCAACATGCACGTAGTGTCACAAGTTGTCAACAGCATGACCTTCTCTGACTTCTTCTTCGTTTGGCTGTTCACCAAGAACCTGAACGGCGTCGTGCTGTTTGACTTTCTTCGAGAGTACTCCAAGACGGTCGGCAACCAGCTGTCTACGGATTCGTCCAGGATGTATCCCACCCTGCCGCACATGCTCGAGCTAAAGCAGCGGAAAAGCATCAACCAGGCAGAGTCAGAGAAGGGGGTCCAGACGCCGCTGACGCCCAGCGGTGAAGATGATGATGTCCTGTACGCTTCCATAATCAACAAACGTCGCGCTTGAGAGGACAGAGTGAAGCTTCGCTGAATGTCATATATCCTGCGCTGTTGCCCGCATACGACGGTGACATCCCATAGGCATAGACACGCCTGTGACAGGCTTATGCTAATCACTATCATCTCCGAAAATGTATCGCGCGACATCGACATAGCGTCACATGTGAGTACAGAATCCCTGGAACAACAGAAGTGAAGCATATTTATCGAATCAAACGCTTGAACGATTGCGTCATAGTCGCCTTTCATAACGCCCTCATCGGATGATGAAGCCGCTAGGAGGGGGATAGCTGAGCTGTACTTCCTACTTGCTCAGGAGGCATGTGGATCAAGCTCTTCGACCAGCACAGCTAGCTGCGCCGACACCACCGAAGTGGCTAAGACTCGCATTGACTTAGACCAGGGTGGCCTCGGCCTGTTCGGCAAATGGAGCATGCCAGGAGAGCAGAGATCGATCGGTGTCCTACACCCCCACCTCTCGGATCTAGACGGAACTCGATCGCGCGAGTAATCGATAGCGACGAACACGTCTGTGACGTCATCACCGCTGCGGCCGACGTCTGTAACTACACGGCGTTCGCCGTGCGGCCGCTAGACCGCGTGGTGGGTCGAGCTGCGAGACCGCGTGGGCGCGGCGCCTCGCCCGGAGCGGAAGGCGGCCCCGGCCCGGGGCGAGGTGCGCTGCCTCGTGACTGGTCACGGGGGAGGGGGGTAAACACGAGGTCAACTCATACCGGCACAACGGGCGTCAGCTTCAATAGTACGCAGTGTTTCGAATTGTTTAGTGTGTCCGGGAAGGCCACCAATACAACTATGCTCACCGCAACCTCAGGTGTTTCGAGTTGAACTAAAAGACAGTGTCTGACGCACCCGATGATCAGCGACCGCAGTGGTGCAGTGGTGATGACATGAGTAAAGCCAACTTGCGAGCGAACTGGCTGAATCATCGTTCAGTATCCTGAGATCCCGCAGTTCACCAGCTGTGTTTGGGTGGTTGGAGGAGGCGACCGCGACGCCTCGCTGCCGAGTCATCGCGGATTGACTCGAATCCTGTGTCTCGCCGCCGAGACGGTCGCGGCGTCTCACCATCGAGTCATCAGGTCTTGCCCGAATCCCGTGGCCCGCCACCGAGACGGTCGCGGTGTCTCGCCATCGAGTCATCAGGTCTTGCTCGAATCCCGTGGCCCGCCACCGAGACGGTCGTGGCGTCTCGCCATCGAGTCATCAGGTCTTACCCGAATCCCGCGGCCCGCCACCGAGGCACGGCAGACGGTACATCCTCCGCGCGTGGGGTGCGGCCAGTTTTCCCCGCTATCCGTCTGACCAGTACAGCCGCCTGGTCTCAACGGTCTCGCCATCGAGGAGTTCGGAGGAGTTACGGTCAGACGGCGACTGCCACAGGCGCTAAGGTGCCCAGCCCTGAGAATTTATGGACTGGTGGATGCTAAATCATTCCCTTACCCTCATTTCGCTGCTGTCCTATTCGCCCTTTTCTTTGCTCTCTCTCTCTCTCTCTCTCTCTCTCTCTCTCTCTCTCTCTCTCTCTCTTCTCTCTCTCTACTCTATCCTCTTTCTCTTCTCTCTCTCTCTCTCTCTCCTCTCTCTCTCTCTCTCCTCTCTCTCTCTCTCTCTCTCTCTCTCCTCCTCTCTCTCTCTCTCTCTCTCTCTCTCTCTCCTCTCTCTCTCTCTCTCTCTCTCTCTCTCTCTCTCTCTCTCTCTCTCTCCTCTCTCCTCTCCTCCTCTCTCTCTCTCTCTCTCTCTCTCTCTCTCCTCTTCCTCTCCCTCTCCCTGTCTCTCTATTTCTTTCTCTCTTTCCCCCGCAACAGAGACGACTCTTTGTAAAATCGTTTGTTGGGGTTGGGGAGGCTGAGCCAATAGAGTTGTCCTAACAAGCTCCCAGATCCTGATTTTTCCGCGGTTTTCGCCCACTTTGGTTTACGACCCTGCACTTGAATAAAGAAGATATTTTTACTGATCCAAAATGGTTCTAATGTCGAGCAATAACATCACATTTGACGCCGATGTCATTATAACAAAGGTGATACATTACCTATGTGATGATAATGTAGATAGTGATGTGTTTAGGTACCCAATGTTCCAGCAGCTTGGACGCTTCATTAACCCAGCGTTTATGGACAGGTAGGAGCCGAGACTCCACACTTCATTCATTGGCCCAGCGTTTTCCTCCTTGTCCCCCATGCGCTGGGGGAGGCTCAGAAGAGCATTGATGAGACTCAAATTAGCATGAGGGTGAGGGGCTCAGCCCCCCCCCCCCCCCTACCTTGAAAGTATACAAAATGACACCTCTGCCCTACAGCGTCATTTTACAGATCCTATCACTCAGTTAGTAAAACTCGAATGACGCGAAGCGCTGTGTGCAGGAACCGCTATGACAGTGTTGGTGACAAACGGTTCTTGGCTCAAGCGTTTTGGACTTATAGGCTCTCCCAGCTTCGTGTCGCGTTGTTGTATGGATCTAAAAGGAAAATAACCGCTGCGACGAATGAAAACCAGGCAAATCTGCATGCCGTCAGACAAGAAAAATGTAATGGACATGTGTGGTGCTTGTTATATCATAACCCATCAGTAATTTGCAATACAGTTGAGAAAATCATTTTAAAGGCGTGGACATACGTATCGATTTGTTTTCTTTTGGGTGGGCCCTGCCCCCACTCACTCATTGTCCAATCTGCCCTCCCTCAACTTCAAGTCTGCCCCTCCCCCCAACCTTCTGGAGTCCATGTGCAAGTCGGACATTAGAAATAGGAGGTAGAAATTATATCAAATTTTATGAAGGCTTCTGCTAATTGTTCCGCAGGTAAAGGGGCTGAAGAAAACGAAAACTGCTTTTCAATGTCTAATAGTGCACCTCACTTAGCTAGTCACGTTTCTAAATGTCTCCTTTCTATTACTTGAGTTTTGCCTTTTTTCCTGCATGTTGCATGTTCTTTATACGATTTACACCAAGTGTTGACGCCGGACCAGTTTTTTGTGTTGTGAAAGTGTTTTTGTATTAATCAACGATGTTTCGAATTGATAAGACAGTAGTTTTAGCCTTATTCCTCGGAAAAGCCAGGATAATGGAAATACAGCTAGGTTGATATGTCGGCAGCATGCTTTTATCGCAAACAATAGCGTAAGTGAATTCAAAATGTTGAATTCCTTGTACTTTTGTTTCGATAAAAGAATGTTGTCGAAATATCAACCTAACTATATATCTATTCTCCTGTTTTTTTTTTCAGAGAAATAAGGCTAACACTACTGTCCTATTTATGCGAATAATGTTCTCCGTTAAGGCACTGAACAACTTAGGTGATGTTTTAAGTTATACGGGATGGAGCAGGTGGTGTTGTTTTTTCAGCTGCACAAAAAAAAGAAACGTGACCAAGCTATGAGCCGTCTACATTCAGAAGAACCGTTGTAGTGATGGTGCTTCCTTTCGACGTGACTATTTTGATGAAACGGTACAAGAACCTGGCGATGGACACCAACGGACGAAACCGATAGAGGTGAGCGTCCAACCGTGTCCATTAGCACAAGCCATGTCGAACATGTCTAGCGCGAGTGCTGTGCTGCAGCCTGCACCCTACCTTGCGGCAACCAGCCGGGATTTCCGTGGCGGAAATTAACAGTCGCGCAAACTTCCACTCGCTGCTCCCGAGGCCGTGCACGTGCAGCAATGTCTGAAGCCATGTAACATCCACCGTGCGTCGATTACCGACACCTGGTTTCGACGATCGACGCCAAACAAAATCATAATGATGCCGAACGACATCATCACTTACCGAGACAGAGCAAGCAAACGTATTAGACCAGGGCTTTAGTTTCCCATTCTATTTGGGCGGACCACAAATCAATTCTTTTAAGAGGCCGAGGGGGGAGGGCTCCCATTTCGTAAAGTTGACGTAAAATTGGAGCAAATCCGGGAAGTGACCTGTTTTTAGTGTATTTATGCTAGAGTTTCCCAGGTCGGCCCCACCAATTGCCTTTTGCAAAGCTACACTCCAGTGGTGAAATCTTACCCACCGCGACACGCAAAAGATTCGTCACCAGAGTATACTCCAGCGTCAGGTCAGAGAATGAGGGCCCATTGCTCAAGCAGGGACAATGTGAGATTGCTATGGTTCTATTGCTGTGCTATTGGCATGGTCAAACCCGCGATTTGCATTGGTCGGGACTCTGGAAGCAAAGAAGGCATTTTTATTGCGCAGGGGCACATGTGCCTAGAAGAGGGTCCAGTGTTGGCAGGGGACGAGTCGGCCAGGGCAGCATTTGCTAGACAGGGACAGGGACGGGACGCCGAATGCCAGGGCTTCTTGCGGTGGTAGAGGCCCCCTGGCCACAACAACAGAAATGAGAGGTTACGACGAGAGTCCACAATGCAACGATGGAAGGCCTTTGTCAGGCAGGCCACCGGTATCGAACGGAGGGCTCTCCTTCCCATTTCAGCCAGCGTCCCATTATGCCAAACTGTAGTCTATGTGAATTATTCAACACCTGCGACGATAAGAATATTTTGCATCAGTGAGAGCCCCTGCATTTATCTGGGGCTGAACAGCGGGGTCATTGGTCCTGCGACGTCAGGTAGGTGACAAATACGTGGCGTATCCCCCTAAAGTTTCCGTCTTGCCAGGGGATCCCGCCTCTGCGTCAACGACATGGCAGCCGGCAGGCACCCCAAGCTGTAACGAAATAGCCCTGAAGCCCCTGACCGGGAAGTGTAATATGCCCCTATTGTTCTATCATCGGGTTCGTTGCCCGGAAAGGTAAGGGAAAGGAAGCAGCTGACATAAAACAGTTTTGAGCCTGCGTGATCACAATCTTGGGAGAAAGAACACCAATGGCAGAGGTTGCAGTTACCGTAAGACCAAGGGGCGTTGGCCACTGCAGCTTATACTGGGCGGTGGGTACTTGGTGCCCGAGAACAGCCATCGTGAATTCCGCCAGCCACCAACCGGTTACAGCGACGTTTTTGAGATATTCGATTGCAGGTCTTGTTCCCGAAACCTGTCGTAGTCATACATTATGTCGCACAAAAGGTGATTTGCTTTGGAATCTTGCACTGCCTGCACAACACTGATCGACAGCCCACTGAAGTCTGTTGTATCTGGAAACCATACCTCAAACACCTTGCCTGAACAACTCAGCGATTACATCCTTCTTGGCCTTGAACGCCACATGGCCAGTGGGGTGTCTATTTGAATGGCATTTGCGTGGAGTCGGGCATGCATGAGCTTGAAATACTCGGCACGAAATAGTCTAAAAATAATAATGGGAATAATAATAATAAAAATAAAATATATGATATATAATGTATATATATATAAAATATATAAAATAATAATTAAAGAAATAGAAATAGGAATCAAACAGCTTCTATGACGCCACATTTCGCTGACACACGTACTCCCAACGTGACCCAGTACACTTGACAGCGATCCCTCGGAGCGGAAGAACTTTTTGGCAAATTCACGCTGCTTGCATTTCTCCGGGTCCGACTGACGGTTGGGCCTGTCTTTGTTTGCCGGGAAGGCCTCCACCGCCGGACGCGGGTCAAACCTCGCGGTGCCCAGGCATTCGACACTGATGACAAGTCGGTCGTTCACCGTTGACAGATGCATGCCCAGGCGATGGCTGCCGCGGACACGCTCGGTGCCCATGCTGTGCGAAGTGACGCAGAGGAGCGACAAGAGTTGCTTGCAGACGCCTTTAGCGTTTTTCGTCATTCGCCACCAGCTTGCCTTTCGTGCCAGGATACCGGTCACTGGCGTCGCTCATCTTGCGCCACTGGTCACAGGCGTCTCTTGTGCACTGGGCCACGCCCTCTCTCTTTCTCTCTGCCAAACAGCCCGGATGGCAAGCTGCGACCGGCAGCGATGAACTGTTTCGCTGATCTGGACTCAATTATAGCGACCACGTCCTGCACAGCTTGCCCCTGCTCGACATCGAGCCTGTCGTCCAGAAAGTTCGTCGCGGCCTGAATTATCTAATTACGCATAGCTTCAAGTGTTCTTTTCGTCAAAACGAGGCTGCGCTAAGAGGGCTGGTTCGTCTGCAGCTGGAACGAACTTTTCCTTCTGTCCACCAGGCGGAGGTTCCTCTTTTATTTACTCCAGCTACAACAGCGCAGCATTGCGGACCTTCAGCACATCCGGAAGCACGAGGTCCCGCGTTGGAATTTTTTCTGCAGGTGGCAGAAAATTTCGCAGATGTCGGCCATGAAGCTCGTCACACGGACTACACGGCCGCCCGCGGCCCATTTCTTGATAAAGTCCTCGGCTTCAGCCTTCTCTTTCTTGCTGCCTTTTGCTGCTGTCTCTTGCCCTACCTCTCTACAGGCCGCTAGGTTCGTCAGGACAGCGTTGACTGAGGACAGTAGGTGCTCGGTGAAACGGAACTCGAAGTGGTGGGGGAAAGTGACCACCTTCTTGCTGCTCTCGCGGAGCTTTTGCTCCTGAACTTCGATATCCGGAAGTGCGTTAGTAGAGCATGCAGGTCCGTCATCCAGTGCAGGATCTCCGGTACCGTCTTCTCCACACTCTCAAGAGTTAGGTCACTCCTGTGACACACGCACCAGGTGATGATCAGGTCGCGTCCCAGCAGGTCACTGAGCCTTTTCCAGAGACAACTGCTGCGACCCGTATTGGCGCCCTCCCGTCCGTGGTCAAGCCAACCAGCTTGTGGAGAGGCAGGTCCAGCCCTTGAATGGCAATTTTGACCGCCTTAGTAGACCTTTTGGGCCATCTTCTTCCGGCTCCATCATGTTTAGAGTGTAGGTCTGCAGCTCAGCATTAGCATCGATCACTCTGGCAGTGACGAATTTGTTGTCTTGCTGCTGACGGTCCATACTTCAGTCGACCTGTAGGCTGTACACAACTTCAGCAGCGATCTTGGCGCCGATCTTGGCCCGCTCTAACTTGACGACGACGCTGAGCATCTCCCGGTACATATCCGGATCTCTGTAGTGAAGAGCTGCAGAAGGTGGCTCTGTTGGCTGCAGATCCACTTCCCATCCACCCTCTCTTATAGCTGTCCAGACTCGCTGCTCGTGCAGCGCTGCGAGGGGGCGGGCTGACCACGACCAAGCGGCCAGAGTCTCGTGCAGGCTATCGTTGTAAACAGCAACGGCGAGCTCCAGAAGCGTCTTGGTGGCACCAGCGGCAGTTCCCTTGAGGATGGACACCCAGGGGTGTTTCGAGCTTCCGCTATTCCACTGCTGCTCCAGGTTTTTGCATCCACAGCAGCAGCATGCAATTTTCCGTGCATATGATCTACCACGCCCATCAGTTTCTCCTTGCTGTCCGCTCTGACGCCGCTGGCTATGTAAACCCACCCGTTTACCGAAGCTTTGGCTGCCTCCACCTCGTGCTCTGCGCAGATGATGCACACCAGCACAACTCGCTTCCTGACGCTAATCTGCCGGTTTTCTTGAAGAAGGCAGTCGGAGGCGTTCAACAACCACTGAACGTTCAGTTTGGCTCCGTTGTACTACTCGTCAGTTGTCGCACTGCTCTGGCTCGGTTCCGCTGGAGTGGCAGGGTGCGTCTCCGAAGCGGTAGGGTAGATCG